ATGGCCAAGAAACAGTTCATCTAACAAGCAGCCTGTTCCTGAAACTTCCTGACAGTAAAACACAACCCAGCCACTTAGAGAAGCGACCTCATTGTCTGGTCCCTGGCTCTGACTTGAAAAGAATACCATCCTCAGCTTCTTTCCACTGAACTTCCATCTGTTTCTCCTCCATCCCAACTGTTGAGGTGACTCAGAAGGCATCTCACACTGCAGCTGCCAGTCCTCCACCCCACCCCACACTTTCTAATCTGCAGATCAAGCTGACCAAATCGGTTCAACCATCCTTAAGGAAGGATCAAGATTAAGGTCAAGCCAAAGACACACTCAGGACAAATAACAGGAGTCTGTACGGCGTCACTCAAGCGTGTCTGTTCAAAGTCCGAGATGATGAGGCTCAATTTTCTCGTTGATCTGGGGCCATCCTAGGCTAGTATAAAGTGGGGCAGCTCCGGACCCTACCCCTGCCAGCGATGTCTGACCCTACGAACTTCTGGCTCCAGCAGAGGCAGGCAGGTGTGTTGGGGGCAACAGTGTAGCCACAGAAAAAGAGAAACCAGGCCTGAGCCTCCTCAGATCTACTCTGGACTCAGGCAGGAATCTATACAAAGGCTATCGTCAAACAGGCTAGAGGTGGCAATGCCATACCAGCGGCCGTACTCAGCTCTGGACTCGTTTCCATCCTGGTGCAGAACGTCCACCACAAGCCAGCCTCCCCAGCAGCTGCCTGCCTGGTTCTAGCAGACTCAGCCCTCTCCAGCCCTCTTCCACATCCCCCAGTAATCTCCAGAGAACGCAGTCAATCAGAGCTCTTGCACCCTGCTGAGAACTTTTTTTTTAAAAACCCAGTGTTTGGGCTTCCCTGGTGGCACAGTGGTTGGGAGTCCGCCTGCCGATGCAGGGGACACAGGTTCGTGCCCCGGTCCGGGAAGATCCCACATGCCGCGGAGCGGCTAGGCCCGTAAGCCGTGGCCACTGAGCTTGCGCGTCCGGAGCCTGTGCTCCGTGACAGGAGAGGCCACGGCGGTGAGATGCCCACGTACCGCAAAAAAAAAAAAAAAAACAGTGTTTGGGACTTCACTGGCGGTCCAGTGGTTAAGAATCCACCTTCCAATGCAGGGGACATGGGTCCAATTCCTGGTCGGGGAACTAAGATCCCACATGCCACCGGGCAACCAAGCCCATGCACCGCAACTGAGCTCACATGCCTCAACTACAGAGCCTATGTGCTCTGGAGCCCACGCACCACAACTAAAGAGGAGCCCGCGCGCCCCAACGAGGAGCCCATGCCTCAACAAAAGATCCCGCATGCTGCAACTAAGACCTGATGAAGCCAAAAAACAAACAAACAAAAAAAACACAAACAAACCAGTGTTTAGGATCATGTTCAAAATCTTGTGCTCCTTGGCTTGGCCTACAAGGCCCTGCACCAGCAGACCCCGAGCCTCTCCTTCCAGCTAGACCTCCCTTGTCTCCCCCAGAGGCTGCGGACTTCATCCTGACTCTCTGTTCTACCTATTCCCAGAAAAAGCAACATGCTTCCAATCACCTGACAAGTATTCCACATCTATAAAGATCAATACAGCAAGGATCCTGCCCTCTGGGAGTTCCCAACTCTGCTGCCCTGCCTTTGCTCTTACAATTCCCTCTGCCTAAAATTTCTTTCCTACACCTTCTCTAGTTTGAAAATGCCTACTGATCCTTCACCGTCAGCTCTCTGGGAAGCATTCCTTGCTCCTTCTCCCACAGACTTCGTCCTGCCCTCCCATTGTGCCCTTTAAGTACCACACAGCAATTACTACGTAGGAATCAGCATGTTTCTCCAGCAAGACTGGGAGCTCCCCAAGGGCCCAGTGCACATCTCACTCATGTCTGCATCCCAGCACCGAGGTCAATGCCTAGCACACACAAGGTGCTCAGCAAGTGCTGACTGTACGGGAACCTCCACTTTTTGGCAAACTTAGAGGAACAGGGACCAGATTTACTCTCCTGCCTCAAACAACTACAAATGAGAAAAGATAAATGAAACAACAGTTTTCAGACATTGGATATCTGGCAGCAGAGGATGGATTCCTGGGTGGGAGCGGGGGATGGGAGCAGGAAGCAAATGAGGTGAGCTCTACAATTGCCCCAACCTACTGTCTAGAGAGAGTTTTCAGGCCATGGCACAAGGAGGGGGTACCCAAGGCAGAGCCTGACAGTCTCCCCAAGTTGGGAAGAGAGAGTTGGGAATCTAGGGAGGCCAAAGTAGCCAGAGTTCACAGGGTCAAATACCAGAGAGGAGAGAGCTACACCGTGAACTCTGGAAATCTGCAGGGGGTCCCCCTCCAGTTTTCTGCTGAGTGTTTACAGTACTGGTCAGGATTAGAGGGAACAATCCTTGGGCCTCAAACTGAGCCAAGACTAATCTGTGTCCCCACTCACCAGAGTGGAAATGCCTCCTAACTCACAGGACATCAGTAGAGCACTGAAAAGGGTAGTGCCTTGGTAGTGGGTAAAATTAACCCTGGTCTAAAGGTTGGTCTGGTCCCAGCTAACAAAGCTTAACAGTGAGGCATCAAAGGATCAAACTGTTTCCAAGTAACTTAACAGTGTCCCAAAACAATGCCAAGAATATTTATAAAAATGCAAAAATATTCAGCACCCAACAGGGTAAAATTCGCAACATCTGACATCCAATCAAAAATTACCAGACAGGGCTTCCCTGGTGGCGCAGTGGTTGAGAGTCCGCCTGCCAATGCAGGGGACGCGGGTTCGTGCCCTGGTCTGGGAGGATCCCACATGCCGCGGAGCGGCTGGGCCCGTGAGCCATGGCCACTGAGCCTGCGCATCCGGAGCCTGTGCTCCGCAACGGGAGAGGCCACAACAGTGAGAGGCCCACGTACCGCAAAAAACAACAACAAAAAAAATTACCAGACATACAAAGAAGCAAGAAAATATGATCCATAATGAGGAAAAAAATCAATCAGTAAAACAGACTCAAAAATACAGATAACAAAATTAGCAGACAAGGACACTAAAATGGTTACTACAACCATATTCCATATATTCAAGATGCTAAAGAAGATTGAGAATGTTAAGTTGAGACATAGAAAGTATAAAAAAGACCCAAATCAAACTTCTAGAAATGGAAACTACAAATGTCTGAGATAAAAAGTATACCAGATGGAAATAACCACAGATTAGACACTACAGAAGAAAAGATCAGTGAACTTAAATACAGAGCAATAGAAACTACGCAAAACAAACCACAAATTAAAAAAAAAAAAAAAAAAAGATGGGGGAAAAATAAATTGAGAATCAGAGAGCTGTGGAACAACTTTAAGCATCCTAAAATACATATAAGTGGAGTCCCCAAAGAAGAGAGAGAGAAGAGAATAGAGAAAATACCTGACGAATTACTAGCTGAAAAGTTTTCAAATTTGATGAAAGTTTTAAACCCACAGATCCAAAAACTCAATTAACCCAAGCACAAGAAATATGAAAACTACACCAGGGCACATCATAATTAAATTGTTTAAAACCAGTAATAAAAGAAAAGTAGCCATAAGGAAAAAAGACACATTAGAAGAAAAAAAAAAAAAGAACAACAGTGGATTACTCATAGAACAATGTAAGACAGAAGACAATGGAACCACATCTTAGAATGTTGAAAGAAAAATAACTGACTTAGAATTCTATATTCAGGAAAAATATCTTTCAAAAACAAAGACAAAATAAAGACTTTCTCAGACATCCAAAAGCTAAAAGAATTCATTACCAACAGACCAGCAGAATAAGAAACGTTTTTTAAAAGTCCTCAAGTCAGAAGGAATGTAAAATGAAGTGGAAGTCTGGATCTACAGAGAGGAATAAAGAGCACTGGAAATGATAAACTGTAATATATATTAAAAAGTAAATATAAAAGAGCTTGGGGCTTCCCTGGTGGCGCAGTGGTTGAGAGTCTGCCTGCCGATGCAGGGGACACGGGTTCGTGCCCCGGTCTGGGAGGATCCCACAGGCCACGGAGCGGCTGGGCCCATGAGCCGTGGCCACTGAGCCTGAGCGTCCGGAGCCTGTGCTCCGCAAAGGGAGAGGCCACAACAGTGAGAGGTCCACGTACAGCAAATAAAAAAATTTTAAAAAATAAAAAAAATAAAAATATATAAAAGAGCTTTTCCTTTCTTTTTAACCTCTTTACAAAATAATTCACTGTTTAAAGCAAAAACAGTAATAATGTATTGCAGGATTTATAACACACATAGAAGTGAAACGTGTGACAACAGCATAAAGGCCAGGAGGGAGGAAATGAGAGTATACTATTGTTAGTGTAAAGTGCTGTACAAGATCACTTGATGATAGACTGTGACAGGTTAAAGATGCATACTATGTGGGAGGGAGATGCAAGAGGGAAGAGATATGGGGATATATGTATACATATAGCAGATTCACTTTGTTATACAGCAGAAACTAACACACCATTGTCAAGCAATTATACTCCAATAAAGACGTTAAAAAAAAAAGAATTCCTCTCCTGCCTGAAGTGATCAAAAATAGCAGCCGATATTATATACCAAATAGATAATTTTAATTAAAAATGCTTTATTGCTAAAAAATTGCTAACCATCATCTGAACCTTCAGTGAGTCATAATCTTTTGCAGTAGTAACATCAAAAATCACTGATCACAGATCACCATGACAAATATAATAAAAATGGAAAACTTTGAAATATTGTGAGAACTACCGAAATGTGACACAGAGACATGAAGTGAGTGAGCAAATGCTGTTGGAAAAGTGGTGCCAACAGATCTGTTTGATGTGGGATTGCCACAGACCTCTAATTTATTTAAAAACAAAAACAAAAAAAAACAGTATCTGCAAAGCACAATAAAGTGAAGCACAATAAAGTGAGGGGAAAAAAAAGATGTGCACTACAAATCTTAAAGCAACCACTCTTTTTCTTTTTCTTTTCTTTTTATTTATGTATTTTTTTGGCTGCACCACACAGCTTGCCAGATCTTAGTTCCCCGTCCAGGGATTGAACCTGAGTCACGGCAGTGAAAGTGCCGAGTCCTAACCACTGGACCACCAGGGAATTCCCAAGCAACCACTTAAAAAAAAAAAAAGTTACAGTTACAGCTAATAAACTAACAAAGGAAATAAAATGGAATCATAAAAACTGCTCAGTCCCAGGGAGGTCAGGAAAAAAGGGACATGGGAAGAAAGAACATGGAACAGATTAAAAACAAGCAGCAAGATGATAAAGTTAAACCCAGCTAGAGTCGTTAACCCTTCAGATGCAAACCTGGGTAGGAGACGTAACCTGGGCCCCAGACGCAAGTAGATCCCCCATACACTGCGCTCTAGAGCAGAGATGGAGCCCACCAGGGCCCAGCGCCCAGCACCCCATGTGTCTCAGATTCAAGGCCTGCCCCTCAGGCAACTGCACCCCACCGAGGAACCTCTGACAGGATGTCTACCCAACAAGTAGACTCAGAGCACATCTTGGACTCAAAGCACAGCTGTCAGAGGGAATTGCAAAGGAAACAGCCCAAGTGACATGCTCATGTTAAATTAAAACATATTACCTGGAGCAAGACGGTGGAGTAGAAGGACCTTGAGAGTTAAACCCAACTACACTAATAATCACATTAAATGTAAATGGTCTAAACATCCCAATTAAAAGGCAGAATTTTTAAGACTGGATTTCACAAAATGCAAAACTCATCTATATGCTGTCTACAAGAAACCCACTTTAAAAATAAAGACACAAATAGTCCAAAAGTAAATAGATGTAAAGAGATATACCGCACTAATTTTTTAAAATCCCTATCAATTTAATTGCAGTAAAACATACATAAAATTTACCATTTTAAACATTTTAAGTGTACAGTTTTGTGACATTAAATACGTTCACACTGTTGTACGACCATCACCACCATCTACCTCCAGAACTTTTTCATTATCCCAGACTGAAACTTTGTACCCATTAAACATTAACTCCCATTCCTCCCTTCCCCCAGCCTTGGGCAACCATCACTCTTCCTGTCTCTATAAATTTAACTACTCTAGGAACCTTATATAAGAGGAATCATGCAATATTTATGCTTTTGTGACTGACTTGTTTCACTTAGCATTATTTCTTCAAGTTTCATCCATGTTGTCAAAAATTTCCTTCCTTTTTAAAGCTGAATAATATTCTATTGTATGCATGTATCACATTTTGTTTATCCATTCATCTGTCAGTGGACCCTTGGGTTGCTTCTGCCTTTGGGTTATTGTGAATAATGCTGCCAGAAACACTGGTGTACAAATATATGTTTGAGTCTCTGCTTATACTTCTTTAGGGTATATACCCAGAATTGGAATTGCTAGATCATATGGTAATTCTATCTTTAATTTTTTGAGGAATTGCCATACTGTTTTCCACAGCAGCTGCACACTTTACATTCCCACCAGTAATATAAATAAGGGTTCCAATTTCTCCACAACTTTGCCAATACCTCTGGTGTTTTTTGGGTTTTTTTTAACAAGAGTTATTCTAATGGGTGTGAAGTGGTATTTCATTGTCATTTTGGTTCACATTCCCCTAATGACTAGTGACGTTGAGTATCTTCATGTGCTTACTGGCTATCTGTATACCTTCTTTGGAGAAATGTCTATTCAAGTCCTTTGCCCACTTTAATCAGGTTGTTTGTATTTTCACTGTTGAGTTGTAGGAATTCTTCAAATATTCTGGATATCAATCCATTAGCACTAAATTTTTTTTAAGTTGGATTGGCTATATTAAAACAAGACAAAGTAGATTTCAGAGCAAAGAACACTATCAGGGATTAAAAGGGTCATTTCATGGTAAAGGAGGTCAATTCATCAAAAGAACATAACACCCCAAAATGTTTATGTATGGAACAGTAAAAGCATACAAAGTACATCCTCTGTTTACAAAGAAATTAAATTAGAAATCAATGTTCACTGGACAGAGGAAGAATAAAGTAACAGCATAATGCTGGTTTTGCCTCTTTCACTACTTCTAATTCTGCCCAGGAGGGAGCAGATAAATTAGCAGTACTTAACATGTCTTCAAGGCTAGGCATAACTGACCTGGGTTATCTGTTTGACTTCCATGGTTCAGTGTCCCCTCTCCTCCCCTGTCTGGCCCATCCTAAGCCCCAGGGGCTCCACTTGTCAGCCCCAGCTAAATCACAATGAACAAAGCTGTTTGGTATTTGCTCAAGCCTTTGACATAAACCAGTGAAAGGGGAGAGAAATGCAGTGGAGGAAACACCTGCTAAATAAACATGCCTTTAAAGCTCCCAAAACCTCACAGACCTTTGCCTTTACAGAGATCTCTCTGCCAAGGGGCAACTATCCAGGAATGAACTGGAACCTTCTGAAAACTCCAGACTCTGAGGAGAAAGTAAAAGAATTTCCGAACAGAGATCCAATCGGATTAAAACAAGGTCTTTGCTGACCTGATTAGGTCAGTCTGGAAAAACCCTACTAGGACTGGCCAACAGTGTTCAAGAGATGATTCATGTAGCTAGCTACCCCAATGCCCTTTTAACGGCAGATTAGCAAATTACACAGCAATAAGCAAAAAATTAACAAGAAGCCTTAGAAATAATTTCACTTCCAAGCTCAGCAAATCTACAAACTCCTTAAGGCAGTGCTTCCCAAACTTGCCTTACAGTAAGAATCACCCAGTGCAAGTGTTAAAAATACAAACTCCTGGGCTCCCCTGGTGGTGCAGTGGTTGGGAGTCCGCCTGCCGATGCAGGGGACGCGGGTTCGTGCCCTGGTCCGGGAAGATCTCACATGCCGCGGAGCAGCTGGGCCCGTGGGCCATGGCCGCTGGGCTTGTGCATCTGTGCTCCGCAGCGGGAGAGGCCACAGTGGTGAGAGGCCCGCATACCGAAAAAAAAAAAAAAAAAAAAACACAAACTCCTGGGTCTCTCTCCAGAATCTAAGCAAGAATATCCAGAGGTGAGGCTCTGTATCTCTAACAAGCATCACAGATGATTCTTAACATCCAGCAAATACATTAGCTTGGAAATAAGACTGATGGGTTAAAAATCCCAACTTGGCCATTTACTGGCTGTAGCACCCTACCTAACATCTCTACTATCCACTTACTTCATCTGCAAAATGGGCTCATCACCTACCTTGAGTGTTCCCAGAATCCAGTATGTTCACAAAGCCCCCAGAACACTGCCAATAGCACATGGCAGCCAAGCAAGAAAACAGAGCTTTTGCTACCTTAAAAACAAACAAACAAACAACAACAACAAAACACAGCCATCAGAAGCTGCCCAGATGAAATCTACAAAGAAAAATTTCTACCTAACAGAAACTACAAAGGCACCAAGCCAGATTTCTCAGATAATCTAGGAAAAAAGCTTTTCTGGACATTATGACTGCCAAGAACTCTCACTTCAGGGTCCAGCATTTCACTCCAAGTCCTCACTCCCATCCAGAACCAGAGTTCAGGCCTGTACAGGGTCGCAGCTTTGGACAATAGCCAAAGAAAGTCTTTCCTTTCCAAATCCCTTGGTCACCACCACTTCCAGCTCTAGGGCTGACAGTCACAGCCTGACAGGTGGCAGCATCTTGGGTACAGCAGTAGGAAATGGGAGTCCTGGGTAAGAGGCAGGGAGCCAATGAAGAGGGTGGAAAAGGCCTGAGTCAGCAACAGTACTACTGGGATATTGCTGAAGTGAAGGGAAGTGAGTTTTTGAAGTTTCCAGAGCTAAGAGTGGACATTCCCAAGGGTGAGTGAGCCCAGACATGTGGCTGAGAAAGCACTGACTAGTCTCAGGGACTGAAACCCTGAGGTGTGGAAACACACACACACACACACACACACACCACACACACACACCACACACACACACACACACACACACACACTGCTCTCTAAATTCAGGAGGAACCAGGCATGGAGATTCACAAACACCAATGACCTTTGTACCCAGCAGGCCCAGAAATAGGGAGTGGTCAGTGATGCTGGGCAGCCCAAGTCCGGGTCCAGAATAAAGGGTAAGAACAGAATCAAGGCTGAAAAGCCACAACCTCACTGCCCTGGACAAACGGCATAGCCCTGAGAGTTAAAAGACCAGAGCGTCCCTCAGACCCCATTCTGCCGCTGGACTCCCTCGGGCAAGTCAAACCCCATTCTTAGGCTTCTTTCCCCGCCTATACAATGGGCAAACTGGCTCTAACGTCACCAGAAGTATGACCAGCAGGACGCTCAAGTAGGGGGTGGACGGAGAAAGGTGGCGGTGAGGTGGGGGTGTGCTGGAGGCGCGACCTGCGCGGGGAGCTCGGGCAATGCCTCCCTCCTTCCCGCCCTCCCACTGCGAGGGGCAGGGGCGCCAGCCCTCCGCTGGAGTCACGCGCCCCTCGCGCCCAATCACCAGCCTCTGCCAAGGTGAGGCGGGCAGACGGAGGCGCGCCGGGAGCAACTGCCAGCGCCGCCCCCATCCCCGTCCTTGCCCCTCCCCGGGCCCCTCTCACCTACCCCTGCCGCCGCCGTCGCCGCCACCGCCGTCGCAGGTTAAATCGGAGCCGGAGCCCACACTTCCGGGGTCCACGAGGCCCGCCCCCTCCCGCCGGATGTGACCCCCCCTCCAACGTCCGGGCGCTGGGTGCTGAGGCCCACGCCACTTATCCCGCAGCACGTTGTGCGCGCCGGGGGCCTCTGATTCACCCCGACACAGTCCTCCCGTCCCCCCCCACACACACACACTCTAGCTGCCACCCGGAACCACACCCACGGGAAGGCCCACGAGATCCCTCTAGCGCCTGGTGGACGCCCGACCCCCGCAGGCCATTGCCCCGCCCCCAGAAGGGACACCGCCCATTGGGCGGAACCCAAGCCTCCTGTGCGAGTGCGCCTGCGCAGGCGTCTGCTGATTCTCTGGTAGGCGGGAGAGGGTCTCCTTTTTTAACAGAGCTCGGCCTTGGGGGCGTCTGCTCAAAGTGACCCAAAGGAGACCCGAAAGGAAACAAATGGAATCTCAGCACCGAGGGACTCCCTAGATGGTCTGAGCTCAGACTGCGGAACCCCCACGCCGGGACTGGAGTGATCACAGTCCTAAGTGTGCCCTGGCAAACAGCAGTGGCTGTCAGTCTGGAACTGACTGGCGGGCTCCTCAAAACAACACTTGAGTAGCTTCCCGAAAAGTAAGCTGTTTCCCGAGGCCCTAGGTTACATTTAGTCCATCCTGTATGGGTAGTGCTTTAAAAATAACAGATGGCCTTAAACATCCTCACTTGCGCAGAATCATGAGGGTGGTGTCTTGAAGCAAGGCCCTGATGCTAGCGCTCTCTTCTCTAGGCAGTTTGTACTGGACAACCAGGCCTGGAGATGAAGCCCATTCCCTGTTTGCCTCTCAGCAGCGTCCATAAATTGCAGCTTTGTAAAAATGGGACCCCAGAACGAGAGCTTCTTAGACCAAGGAAACCGTGCCACCCAAATTCAAAACCTTATTTGGATGTTGAATTAAGACCATCGTCTGTAGTAACAGAAACCCAACTCAAACAGCTTCTGCAAAATGGAAATTATTGGGTCACATAACAATAAAATCCACGGGTGGTGATAGTGCCAGGAACAGCAATATTCTAGGTCTCATTCTTCTTAGTTGACTCTGTTCTTTATTCTTTGTGTTAACACTCTTTCAGTAGTCTCAAATTTCTATTTCAAATTCTAAAGAGAGTGGATCTGATTGGCTAAGATAATCACCGTTGCCCCTATTGGGCAGAGTTTACTCTTTCTTGCCTCCTCATAGGCTGCCAGGCCTCCTAAGAATTAATGGCCATTGGGTCAGGTGATCACCCTTCTCCAACGAGAGGTCACCTGTTAGACCACGGAAGGGATCAGTGAGGAAAGCAGTCTCAAGGTACTAACCCTTCTGAGACACCAATAACTCTTTTGAGGGATGCCATGGCTGGTTTTACGAACATTTCACTTTGAACATAATGTAAGAGTGGCTCCCATTGACAGCAGCTGCCAGGAAGCTGGGCTGAAACTGTTTCTAGAGGATGGGGAGGGCCAGGGCAGATGACCTTAACCTTTTGTTTATAAACCCTTTTGTGCTATATAATTTTTAATCCTGTATTTGTATTACTTTGTGGGTAAAAAATTAGAAGACCCTACTGATGGATTAGCTTCAGTTTATATTCAGCAGTCCTTTCACTTACTGGTACTGTGTTGGACCGTGGAATGTGGGTGCAATGGCTGGAGCTAGAGTAGTCATCTTGAACCATGAGGCAACCATGAGATGAGAGGCCATACCTGAACACACAACAAAATAGAAGGAGCTTGAGTCCTGACACCATGGAACCCCATGCCCCATGACACTGCTGGATGCCCACCTCTGGATTTTTATAGGAAAGGGAAATAAACCACCTTTGTAAGCCACTGTTGTTTTAGGTTTCCCATCACTCACATCCTTTAGGTCTTAGACTCCACTTTTGGAAAGCCTCTCTTGTACCCCCGAGACTGGGTAAGTGTCTGCCCTTGTATGTTCTTCAAACACCCAACATTTTTTTTCCTTTCTTAGCATTTACTACATTTTTCTGTAATTGAACATTCACTCCCTCTAGATAGCAACTTCTATAAGGACAGGCAAAGACTATTTTCTACACCTCTTTATGCAGATCCTAGAAACTCCTAAAACAATGACAATAATTACTTGTGAATGTGATAGACACAGTGATTCCACTGAGGGTGTTGAGAGGAAATGACAAACTGCTCTCTGAATCAACTGGGTCACTGCCAAGTCATCTTAGGGTGGGGCAGGGGGAGAGTGAAGCTGGCCCTTCTGAATAACTAAAGATAGAGAATTAGGGCAAAGGAGGGGGATGGGGGGAATGTGCCAGGAGATTCGAGTCGTCTGAGGAAGGTGGCATTAGAAAAAGTTGCTTTTCCTACCTTGTTTCTTCCTATTTTCCACTTCTGGCTCTTTTCAGCTTCCCATGGCTCTAGCCCCACCCCTTTGATCCTGGTCCCCTATCACTTGCACCTATGTCCCCATATACCATGCCTCGATTATACCCAACGTCATTCATAATTCAGAGTGGCCCTCATACATGCAAAAAACGAGAGAGAGAGAAAGAGAAAGCAGCTCCTTACTCTCTTCTCTTGTTCATTCATTCCACATACATTCACTGAATACCTGTACTGCTAAGACCTGTGGATACAAAAGTAAACACACCATCTGCAGCATCAAGGAAGTTACATTCTTGGTTGGGATTTTAGAGGAAACAAGGGATCTCACTATTCCAAGACATCTCAGTCCTTCAGATGACCTTGATCAGGAACAAAAAATGTTAAAGTAGAAATGGTCATTGTGTTTCTACCCACTTCTAAAAAGTGTTTGTTTAGCTCCTCAGTACTGGATTTTGTTATGCTGGTGGACTGGATGGAGAAGTGATGTGAACAAAAGTAAGGATGGCAGACAGGTAGGTCAGAATGTGAGGTAACAAAAACAAGATATTTAAGAAGCTAAGATATTGAGAGAGATTTGGGAACTGAGTTGGAAAAGCAGTTTTCGAAAGAAGTTTGGCCATGGGGTATGTATAACCCCCAATTCAGTCTTCAGGAGATCTCCAGTGAAGACTTTCTTTTTTTTGGACTCACAAGTCAGATCCATCTGGCTGGTTTCTCACTCCTACTGCTTCCTCCTGGCTCCCACACTATGCCCAGTAGTTTGGCCTGATCAATCCAGAAAGGTTTTGTGTCTCTGAGGCAGAGGCTGGTAGCTGCTTACAGAATTAGCCATTTTTTGGGTTTCCTAAAAAGTCAAATGTATTTTGTTATATAGCAATATGTCCAGTAGCTTAAAGACTGCACTTCCCAATCTCCTTTGCTGTTAGTCATGACTAGTGACTTTGTGATATTAGCAGATGTATAAGAGGGATTTCTTGGAAGGCTGCTTTAAAGGAGCTGATTCAGCTGGGAGATGAGTCTCTTTGACTTCCCCGCCTTCTTCTTAAACAGCTGTCTGGATTTCAGATGCGATGGCTGGAACTCCTGCAGTTGTGTTGGACCATGAAGTGACCTTGGAGGTGGAAACCAGTCAAGTTCTGGATGGCCCACCTCCAGATTTGTTTAAGTGGGAGAAAAAAAAATCAAGTTTTATCTTGCTAAAGTTATGGTTCTTTTAGGTTTTTTGTAATGTGCATCCAAACTTAAACCTGATACTACTATGTGGTTACTCTGGTACAGTTTTATTATTATTATTTTGTTGGGTTTGGTAAATGAATTTATATTTAAAATTTTTCTTTCCTTTATTATTTTATTAAATTTATGCATAAACCACACATACACCTAATCTTGTATAAATGCAGAATTGTGATTACAAACATGCTTTCTTATAGTTTTTGGACTTTTTTCTTTCTTTCTTTCTTGGCTTGGTTTCCCCACTAGTTAACAGCCTAGTATATGTCCTCTCATATAATCTCATCCAAATCCGTATCTACAGCCCAAAAGAGGCTGAGGAGCAGGGTGGGGAGAAGCAAAGAAGAACAAAATATAGGCACAAGAATGAAGGGTGGTGGCCATTGTTACTTATCATAAATATTCTGTAGTAGTATCACACTGCCCTTGCCCTTCTATGTACCCACCACCCCCAGCTTTGCCATGACCATGGAATTTACTTTGGCCAATGGAATGTGAGTAGAGGTGATATGTCACTTCCAAGTGGAAGCCTTTAAGAACCAGAGTCCAATGTGCCACACACTCACTTCCCCTGCATCCAGAGGGAGCCTCCATCTGCTTTCCTCCCCAAGAGACTGCGATGAGCAGGGTTCCCTGCCCACCCACCCGAGATGTGAGTGAGAAATAAACCTTAGTTATGTCGAGCCATTGAGATTTGGGGGGTTTATGTCTTCATAGTGTAACTCAGCTTATCTTCACTGAAACAGGAGGGTATAACAGGCACTCCTAATTGTCTCCTTCTTCATTTGGTAATTAAACCCCTAGTCTAGGGCCACCCAGCTAGAAAGTCCATTTACTAGCCTCTCTTTCACCTAAAAGTGCCACCGTGACTTCATTGTAGCCAATGACAAATGAGCGGAAGTAATTTTATAACCTCTGTGGTTATGCCGTTTAAGGAAAGGGGCACATCCTGCTTCCCCTTCTCTGTCCTGCTAGCTGGAATGCAGATGTAATGACAGGAGCCGGAGCAGCCATATTAGACCAGAGGTGAACATCACATGTTGAAGATGGCAAAGCAACAGGAAAGAACCGGGTCCCCATCACTGTGGAGCGACCTGTACATTATTATTTTTACCTGTACTATTATTACTATTATTACATGAAGGAGAAATGAAATTATATTTAAGACAGTGTTATTTAGACTTTGATTATAACAGTTGAACCTGTAACCTAATACCCATAACCTAATAACTAACCTGTGTGTTACCCTTGTTTTGACAATTGGAGTCTGGTGGATGGCGACAAGATCCACTTACATGGACTTACAAGTGAGTCAAGTGAGATTCCTGCCCTCTGAAACACGTGGTCCAGTGTGGGTTTCAGAAAATCACGCAAGGGCAAAGCCAC